TTCGGAATCCTATAACGGGCCGAAAATGGGCCTCCAGAGAAGAACCTCCAGCGAAACCCTAATTACGTCCCCTATAAGTAGAGAGCAATCGCCGGGAGACTAATCAGTATCATCATCTAGGGATTTCTCTTTCGTGTAGTTTGCTCTGTTTTTATTATTGTTTGGATTTTTTTTTTGGCTAGTCTCCGTTAATGGAGGGAGAGATGGCTGTGATGACTCGGAATATTCAAGCTCAACAGACCGGAATTAGGCGTTTCTTCTTTTACAGGAGATTCGTTTCTGTGTCGATAACCCCGCTGATCTGAGCCACCTCTCTCCCCTTCAATTCTCTTTTCTTCAGATTTGATTAACGTTTTCGAATCCTAGTGAAACTTAAGATTCAACTGAATAAAATTGATTTTGTTATAAAATTACGTTTTGATGATGAGATGACGATGAGGATATACAGCTCCCTCTTCTGATAAAAGCTGAAGAGAATTGCTGGCAGAATCGAACCTAAAATCACTAGCCACCACTGAGTCATCTCCTTATCATCCTCTTTATTTTTTTTTTATTACTTTATAATAATTGAGTCAAATTAAATAGATGGAGATAATGATGAAGCAATAAATCTAATCCAACACTTGATCTGAGTTATGCTATGTGCATCTTGATGTCACAATAGTTTTTTAGCTTCTGAATCTAACCCCACGGATCAGACTATTTTATGTTATTTTAAAAATTCAAGATTTGTTTGGAACTTTTCTGAGTTCACTATTCAATTCATTGTCTGGTCCTTATTACTCTGAAGCCTTGAGGCTTTAAAAGAAATTGTCTATTGATAAAATGTCAATGATCTTATTATGTGACTAATGTAGTTTGTTGGATAATTCGAACTCATTATATTTGTGAATTGGTTAGAGAAATATCTTTTCAAAAGAAAGAACCAGCCATAGAATCCAATTGGATGTGGAATTAACGTTAAAAAATTTAATTAACAGATCACTATGCTTCTCACCCTTATTCAATTGCGAATCCGATTGAGCATGGAGAGTGAGTAATCATTTGTTTTTTTGCCTGACTTAGAGCCTGTCCTGAAGCTGTTTTTTCAGCAGAGAGAGCTTACGGAATATCTTCTAACCAAAATTATCATATATAATCGATCAAAAGACCCATCCTATACTACATGTTAGAGAAGAAGCGTTTTAAACTGCATCTACAAGCGAAGGCTACCCGGAAGATTTCTCTGATGATGATTCAAGGCTTAAGGCTGCTTGGTAACTTCTCATCTCCGATGTTGCCGTGGTTAACTAATTTCAATAATCGATTGTTGGTGTAAAAGTACATGAATAAGTGACTTTTTTGATAGTTTACTCATTTTTCCTTGTTATAAAGGATTTCTTTCTTGATCCCGTTTTTATTCTGTTGGGGGTATTGTAATTTTTTTTTTTTTGTTTGCTAAATGGGTATTGTAACCTTAAAAATCATTTTTTACATGACTGAAGATCGATAGAAAAATTCACGTTTTAAAGTTTTGCTATCAGAGAAAAATAAATTAATTCATTTGGTGAAATTCAAAACAAACGCAACTCAATACAATAATACATTTGCTTGTTAACGTCTCCCCGATTTTACAAGTAGTAACAAAAAAGCATTTGAAGAAGAAAGAGAAAGGACCATGTCCTCCTATACTCTTATAGCATAGACAGTATTCAGATATAACTTTGTGTTAAAAAAAAAAATATTTTTGATTTAAATTTTGTGTGTAAAAATCGAAAAAATGCTAAAGACCCAAAACCCTTTAATGAAATTTCTTATTTACAGATCCAACCATCTTAAATGGATCAACCCACACCCAAACCCAGAAAATTCGGATCCCACTCTCCCTCTTTAACCCGACAACTCCCTCGACAGTTTAAAAAAAAAACACAAGTCCGTCCATCTTCCAACTCTCTTCGCTTCTTCTAGTACAACTAAGGATAACTCTTCGTAACTCGAAGTCTAATTCCAAGGCAAGTCCGAATTTAATTCCTTTATTCAAATCTGAGTATACATTTTGCAATTTTGAGTAGAATTCGGGTCGAATTTAGGTTAAAATGCTTAACCGATTTCGCGAAGTTATAATGTTGGGTTGTTTGGTTTTTCGAAGATCAATGGCGCGCACRAAGAWCCCAAATTATGTKGGTGATTCGCCTCYAGGACAACGCGAAGTCCYTRATGGTTCGAATGACACTGAGTCGCATGTAAATGACACAGAAAAAACTGTGTCGGACTCCAGCCATTCAAAGGTATGTCTCAATATTGTGGCCAACTAAGTGCAAATTAGTATAACTTACTAGTTTTTGTAACTTAATAATCGGTTAAATAAATGGTGTACCTTAGTAAATATTGGTATAACTTGTTAGT